GAATATGGCAGTGCATCGCCTTTGTCAAACAAGCCACCTCTGCTCACATAAAAGCCAACCTCAAACAAGTCACCTTTCTGCACTCTCTACTTGATAGAAAAAGAATCTTGAGACCGGCCCGTTGGTATCCTTACGCAGCGTCAAAACTGCCATTAACTTCCCCACAAGTGAAAGTGCAAGCACAAGCACAAACACTCCAAGAGTCCAAGTAAGTGATCATCGAGCACTATACCAAGACCAAAAAAAACGACGATTGAGAGATATGTCTTACCTTTCCGAACAGCCTTGACCTCCTCCATGGCTTCTTCATATTGTCTGTTTCGAGCTTCTTTCCGTTGCTTTCTCTCCTCATCCCTCCGCTGTTTTTCCTCGAGAATCACATTTCTCTTTATCTCCCTCTCTGCAGCAGCAGACGCAGACGCTTTTTGTGCAGCAGCTACCCGCCTCATCACAGTGGCAGTAACAGTTTTCCGCCATCCTTCTGGTGAATCATTGTCCTCAGCAGGGTTTCGCAAAGCACCACTGTCCCCACCGCCATCCCAATCATAACCGCTCAACTCACGATTGCCTCTAGAAATCCCTGACCCTGACAAGGATGGCTGACATAGAAACCCCTTTGACATGCTAGATTCAGAAGGAATTGGGTGCAACTCTGAGCGAGAGGGTGTGTCCCCTGTCAGGAACGAGTTTTCCATTTTGTGGAAGTCGTCTTCCTGCACAAGCAAATCACAAGCAACTTACGATTCAGTCAATCTATTCTAAGGAACAGCAGCACAATAGAGAACCTGCACACGGCAAGGCATGATGTTCAATCAATGCTCAGACAACATGCAGGCGGAACACAGCAAAGTCCAATGTGAGGAAGGAAGCATCACATTGCCCCCATGCCAGACTCACTCACTGTCATCCATAGCAGAGTGAATGTGCAGAGAAAAGGCAGTAACTGGCATTATCATGTGGATTACCTGACACCATACAGGCTGTACAACCTCCAATGTGAGTATATCTTCATATATCAGGTGCAAGTACATGCCAGTTTTTTATCCCTCCCTTCTCTCTCTCTCTCTCTCTCTCTCTCTCTCTCTCTCTCTCTCTCTCTCTCTCTCTCTCTCTCTCTCTCTCCTCTCCTCCCCAACACCCCTGATCACCACCACATATGCACACAAACAGACAGCGCGACAGAAACAGAGCTCCAGAAGGACATTTCTTGACATGATTTCACCTGATGACCACCAATACCTTTCAGAGTGGAAGGCTAAAGTAAAGATAACCTATGCTGCGTTTCTTCGGAGGTTGGGCACCACCAAAATGGCAGGAGACGCCAGCCAAAAGTAAAGAACAAAGGTCGTTCTGGAGCAAAGCTTGGCGGGAAGTTCTACACTGCCTCGGCAAGAAAAGCCTACACCATCGTACCAGCCGAATTCTACGTTGAGTCAAGTCGTAACTGTGTGCTTTCACTTCCTCTGACCCCTCCTCCCCCTCACACCCAGTGCTCGTCACAAGCATAGACTATCCAAGTGCCACACACACATAGGCAGTTGAGAAGGCAAGTAAGCATCATACACTTCTACTCCTCTTCATAACGGAGCTCCACCATGAGTGTCAATAAGGAACAGACAAAAGGGTATGTACACTTGCAAAGCACTTACTCGAGCATAAGTGTAAACATATGAGTGTATGTTAGTCCCACCAGCAGAAGTAGAGACTCGAAGCACACAAAACAGTACATCTGGTCTTCACGACCAACTCCAATAGCGTCAAAGTCTGTGGAAGGCTGCCTTTTCAGCACATCAAACTGGGACGCATCTCCTGGGCAAAAAGCCCCACTCTCTTCTCCCAGCACATCATGCTGGGCATTTATCACAGTCGATAAAAAACAACTGAAAAGTTATAACCATCAGGACAATGACCTTCCCCCTCAGAGTATGGACGACTGAAAAGTTATAATCATCAGGACAATGACCTTCCCCCTCCGAGTATGGACGCTGGAGTCGTTATGACTGTCTTGGGCAGTTCCGAGGCCGGATATGGCGATATAACTCAGCAGTCTATTCTCATTTTTTATTCGTTCTAAGGGGGTATTCCGTAACATTGTTATATTTGTCTAACCCGATTAGGACTCTAACTCGTGAACCGTTTTCTAGTGATCACGTGTGTTTTCAGCCTCATGAGCTGGGCACTCAGCAGTCTCATTCTTCCAGAGTGAAGGAATAGCATCCTCCCCCCCCCCCCCCCTTCCAACCGAGGGTGCCCTTGTCACGGGCTGTTGACAAGCCCGTGCTCTGCGCAATCACCTGGCAGACGTGGATTGGTTACCACTTGCCCCTTGCGTTTCGGCGGGATCAATGAACTTCACCATAAGACCGAATAGCTCGCGAGTCATGAGCCTTTTTCTGCGATCCCCATCAACTTGGTTCCAATTGGGTGGGTTGGATGCTTTGAGCCACATTGCGCAATCGGAGTGAAGCTGGCTAGGCTTTGCTTGAATGAATCGAACGCCCATCAAAGTTGGTTATGAGATGGTGCACTGTAAAAACAGGGATAAAAAGCTATTTTATCTACAGAAAAGTTTATGCAAGATGGATTAAAGCTGGCCAGAATCCAGTAGCGGCCACATGGACAAGAAAGACCCAAGCACTGCAGACAGGACTTGTGTAACACTTCAAAACAAGTTCCTTGGGGACACAAACCTGCAGATTTTCACTCTCCTCATCAGAGAAACATTCAGCAGCCTTGAGGACAGCAACCACAAGCGACACCAAAGCCGGCAAAACCCAGAGTGCTAAAATACAGAAGATAACAACTATGAACACTATCCTCCCTGCAGAGTCTGGCAATCGCCCTCCACTCAGCTGCGAAAATGCCGTATCAATCCAGTTGAGAAGCTCTGCACACAGGAGCACCAAACAGATGCCACACAATGAGTGCATAGGCTGGGAGACACAATTGCAGCTCAACCTAAACGGCTGAAACGCACATGCCACGACTGCCAAGCAGGTATGCATCAGTAGACTGGCACAGTAAACACATTCGCCCGACAGTCCAGCAGCACAGCAGGCATCAGCGCCTACCACACTACGATAAGTATGGAATATGTTTGGTAACTTTGGTGTGTATTTTTTACTATTATAATTTTTCCAACCATCCTGATTCACGTCGTATATTAACAGATGATGGTTTTGAGGGTCATCCACTACGAAAAGACTTTCCCTTAAGTGGATATGTGGAAGTACACTACGATGATTCAGAGAAACGTGTGATTTTGTAGCCTATTGAAGAGAAGCTATGTGCACAAGAGCACCAAACAGATGCCACACGATGAACGAGTAGGCTTGAACATACAATTATAGCGCAATCGAAAAGACAACGACGAACATGCCATGATTGCCAAAGCAGGCAGACATCCGCAAACCACAACACCTAACAGATATGCACCCACAGACAAGCAGAACAACAAGCATAAATACCTACCACACACATCACACTGCAGACGAACGCAAAGCCAGGACGACACGTAAGCAGGAGGAGAGACTGAAGGAAACGCTATAACCAACGAGCAACTGGATCACTTTGCAACTCCTTTTTTTTTTTTTTTGAGTTCTTTTTTTTTTTAATCTGAGTACGGAACTGGGCCGCCCGGCCGACCAGCGCCTGCCCGGGGGAGGTCCCGGGCGGCCTGGCCGGGCACCCCCAGCACACCTTGTCGAGGGGGGGGTTCAGACCCCGAATCGCCATGTTCTGGAGTCCCCAGGGCCTACCAGGTCCGACCAGGCCCAAAAAACGCGCGTCGGGCCCTTGAGGCCAGCTTTTTTTTTTGAAATTGTGACGGCCCTCCGGCCGTCGATCATCCATGATCGACGGCCAGAGGGCCGTTTGATTTTTGGAGGGAAAACGAGGACCCGTTTGAACAGCCGACTGGCTGGGGCGGCCTGCATCGGCTGTCCAAACGGGGCCTTGGTTTTCCCCAGCCGCCGAAGTTCGTGGTTCAGCCGCCCGTCGTCGTGGAGCCGCCCGTTGTCGCCTGGGAGCTACACTCCCCCGTCGTCGTGGAGCCGCCCGTCGCCCG